GTTTCCTTTTCAAGTAACACGAGTGAGTCCCAACAGTGGAAACTGCTACACAGGAAACTAACGCTGCACCTGATGGACCGAAATACTGTGTAACGCTACCAACAATAACACTAAATGTTGCTAAAAATGTTCAACATGTGATGATTTTGCTGAACACAAACAAACACACACAGCGTAAATAAATAAACAGGAATATACAGCAATAATGATTTGCAACAAGCACATTCACCCAAAATGTTCAAAAGACTCACTCATCCAATTAATGTAGTATCATCTTGTTATTCGCCATGGATTCATTACAATCCATTCATTAGAAATCCCATATCAACCTGTCAACGTTTTTTTCGCACCAAATTTAAACAACTGAATTTAAAATAAAAACAATTATGACATTGATAATCAGTGACTGGAATTCACAGAAAAAATACTCAAGATGTTAAAAAATTCTAATAGATGAATTCATGTCCATTTAAAAATAATTTTTTGATGGAACAAAAAATCCTATTTTTTTTCATTCTTTAAAAACCTGAATATTTTGAAGGTGAATATCAATTTACATTGAAATTTGTAAACTGAATTTTTAGTGACTGAAATGCAAAGACAACAATATTCAAACATGCTTTTTCAGGGTTAAAATTTCAAATGGAAAAATTCAAGCTCATTTAAAATTCACAATCTGATGTCGAAGCTCATTTTCCATAGTAAAGGTCTTTCCTGATAAAAGGCCCTTGTTCAACAGGGATGCTGGAGAGGCTTGACATAGAAAGCATATTGCCCTCCTTGATGGTGATACAAATGAGTATAGGGAGAATAAGAAAGAAGCCACAGTGGAAATTTGAAAAGCCCGACTTTAGTGAAAACCAGATAAAGGCTAAATTCCACAGCACTGACCTGAAAGCTGTGTGGGATGGCATGAAAGTTATGGCAGGTCAGTCTAAAAGCAAAACGGAGAATATCTCAATTCAAGACCTAAAACAGAGTGGCGAGACTGCAAATGCTTTGAATGACTTTTATTTAAAAGGTGCCATATTTAGCTTTTTTTCATGTTTCAAAGTCCTTCTTGAGCACATGTGTGATGATAATTTGGGTGATTCCACGTTTCAAGAAAAGTTCTGTAACAGTCTTTGGTGAAATGTCGAAGTAAAAAAAAAACATCCGCGGAGGCAGATCCCCGTGAAAAAAGTCAAAGCCCATTCGCCTCATTCTCCATCTTCGGGCCAAATACTGTCGTCATAGAGCTAACACAAAAAAACACAGACGCTTATTTACTGTCTGTTGAGCACACGCTGGACTCGGAGAGGCTGCAATGACCGTAGACGGCGCTGATTTGCTGGTTCAGTTTCTCCCCGCTGTCAATCACCTCTTGAAGGCGGGCTTTTGATGTCACAGATTGGTGCACGTCACCATTTGAACCAACTAATTTCTGTGCCTCTCAAGAATGAAAGAGAAAGATCGCTCTGACTAAAGCTTGAAGGAATCTGTGCATGAAGCCAAATAGCTCTGTAATCATGTTTAAAGCAGAGAAAAGTCACAAATCATAATATGGCACCTTTAACGTTTAACATTGACAGTGGTTGTTCAAAGGCACACAAAGATGTCAGTGATCATATGACATCTCCTGCTTCCACTGGGACCTGATTTTATGACAGAAAAACATTGTGGAGTTTTTATTGACATTTTTAACTTCTCTCCCACACAGCATAAAGAGGGACTTCACGAGTGATATTTTGAATGTTTTGAAGTTGTTTTTCACAAATGAAGTACAGGAAAGACTGGACCCCATACATTTGGATTATTGCGATGCCGGCACTGTCCCACAGCCCTAATTCTCACCCTAAAAGTTGTGGGTGTTATCTGTGTTGAAGATAATATGTAGCAAAGTCCCATAAAAAGAGGCTAGATTCTCTCTTCTGCTGCTGACTTTTTATTTGCTCTACTGGAAAGAATAGATTGATTGGTTTTCAGTGAAGTAAAGCACCCATTTAATCAGTCATTATTGTTCACATTGCGAATTATGGGCAAGCTGGAATGTGCATGAGCTAAATATGGTGTTTACGACCAACAACTAATCCGAGCCTTTTAGAAAGTAACCATTGATTAGATATTCATCCGGTGTGACTGTGAGCCCAGCCCACCATTCAGTCCAGCTCTGACCATTTCACAGTGCACTGACCGCTTACTCATTAGAACAATTAGTGTCATACTTCATATCATTAGATCACCAAGGTTCAATAAGACGGCAGGCACACAATAGGCCCCTGTTGTGGGCAAGGGGCACTCCAGGTTCTAGGTTGGCCCGGCCACACGTTTGTCACGTTTTTACAAACCAGTGAAACATGTATAGAACTCAGACATGCAGTGGAAAGCAGTTTAAGAACCACACAGAAACACAGTGGCCACCAGATCAGACGATACTCCAACAGCACCACACTGTACCACAGCACTGGATTAGGATAATAGAGATTTTCCAGTCTGGGTGACATGAAAAGAATTAGGACATTCTCTCAGGCACTTTGGAATAAATCTGAATGCAGCCAAGCACTTTCTGAGAAGGTAATTTTCTTTTGCAGCATTCAATAGGATTTATTAAACAGACAAATCAATACAATATCTCCCCTATTTCCACAGGGCAATATCAGTTTAGTACATGATTGCACCAAATGTGTTTTCTCCTTTACAAAACAACAATCTGCATGCTCCTCTGGAGACAAGGAAACTGGTGCTGTGACTGAGGACAAGAGCAGTGTCAGATTGAAGTGTGTGTTCTTTGAGCTGAAGGTTTTTAAAATCAACACCTTTTTGGTCTGAAACCCACCAATGCTAATTTGGATGAATAAAGTGCTCCTTCATGTGAGGCGCTGTCATTGCCTTGAAAGGTAGAACAGCACTATATTAAAATTACTCCCATTTCTGTGTGAGTCCAGAAATCACTGACAGAGCAGCCATTACATCAAAATTACATGCTTTCTTGGTTGAGTCACACTTTTGACAGTGTAACAGTACTTGTACAGTCATACAGTCCGGATCAAATTTTGAACATGCACATTTGTGCACAATAAAAAGGCTTATTTTATTGAAAAAATATGATTTTCATACATTTGCGTTGGCTCAGCCTCACAGCCGGAAGTGTGACATCACAGCGGGTACTGGTTCATTCAAAATGGACAGTGATTCTGAAAAATAATTGACCGGAGTTTACGGATGGCTAAGGCTAACAGGGATTTCCTCATGTCACTTTTAGCACAAAGGTACAATCAGACACTGTATTCAAACTCAAACATTTGTATCATATAAATGTGATACCTTTTAGAAATGACTTCATTTTAATGATCAATCTACAAAGCTAAACACATAAGAAAGTTGTAATAGTGATTTGCTTATTATGAACAAACAGAGAGGGTCCTGTAGTTCTGCAACTCGTTGAAGTTCATTGGCCGTTCACACCGAGGCTGCGATCGTGTCCGTCCCGTGGATCTACAGGTCCATCCTTGTCTCTAACACGTGCAGTTTACTTCCTCTGCTTCCTCTTTCCTTTTCTTTCTCTACCTTCCAAAGCCTCTTCTTCTCCTTTGGTCTGAAGCCCTGTCTGAAACACATCTTCTTGTCATCTTGAATATCCACCGATTTAGTGCAAATAATAGACAAACAAAATGTAAACAAACGCGACAACATGGGGGACATGTACTTGTGCCCGCCGTGACTTCACCGAGGGAGAAGCACCGGTATGATTGTTTTCATTTCTAAGGACATTGCAATGGTCTTTTCTCGATATGGAAGGATCAGACAAAAAAAAAAGAAAATGATTTTGAAACCTTTAGTAGTTCTCTTCTAATATAAAATGGTAATAAAACTTTATTTCCAATCAATATAAACCCTGCATAAGGTCTTAAATGTAAGTGTTCATTATGTAAACTTTTAAAACCTTATTAAATCTAAAGGTGTTGTTGCCCCTATATTTAGGTGTTTTAGGTGTCAAATCCGAGAGAGAGAGAGAGAGCTGAAAAAGAGAGAGAAAGAGAGATCAAAAGAGAGAGAGACTACCGATGCACGTTGATGGTCCTGGCTAGCAGCAGCAGGCCAAGTCTCTGCTTCACAAGTCTTGCACTTCCCATTGTGTTTCTGCAGTATTTGTCTTTAAGCATATAAGAGAACAAAAGAATAGGGGGGAAAAGTATCCGGTTACCACCTTGAATCGGTGAAGACTGTGAAGAGCGGTTGAAAAGAGAAACACATGACTATTTCACGGCTGCGCCTACATCAACACCAGTAATTTACCATGATTAGTTTGTGCCATAATGGATAAATGGATGAAGCATCAAATAATGGATGCTTATCTTCTGCAGCTCAACAATTCCACCATGTTCTAATGTTTTTGGAATCCAAATTTTTGCACAGATTTTAAGTTTTAGAGTCTCTTTTTTTCACTCTTCATTTATCTTTAGATTTTAAAACCTCTGTCAAGGTTCTACAATGCAAAATGTAAATGTTTTCACTTTTCCCATCTTCTCCAAAGGGGCTGCTCAGTGTGGAGCTGCAGCCCAGGCTTTGCTCACGCCTCTGCACACAGTGATGGATGTTCTGTGAATGCTCAGGCCCACATTCAGGCCCCGGCGGCTGGGGCCAACATGCGCACACAAAATGCCTTTTAACCCCAACGTCTCCTCACCTCTATGTTCTGCTCCAGTCGAGTGGAAAGAACTCGCTTTGCGCTCTTTCAACCTGTTTTGAGTTGCGTACACCTGCAAGCTTTACACCTGGAAGATTTCTAGAGTCTATGAGGGTTTTTGAATCTGTGAAAAGAAGAGGCTTCACCGGCCTCGCACAGCCATGTTAGCTTGAAGGAAAAATATATAACGACTGTATCTGCAGGAATGTGAGCATGTTTCACTTTAGTTTTTAACACATGGGTATAATGGTGAAAAATTGTGAAAAGTCTATTTTGTATTTTATGTCCCCATGGTTCAGACATGGATGTACATGATGATGGTGATGTTTTGCAGGTGCAGGCTGCTCTGAAGAGGCAGTGGGTGCAGTACAAGATGCAGTGGGGTCAGCGCAGAAGAGAACACTGCTCCATGCGTTCCACCTCCTACACGGCCACCTCCATGACCGAGGTGCCTGCTTTCATGTTCCAGGACGCTCATGAGGGCAATGGGCGTCATGCCGACCATGCCGAGCTGCTGACCATCAAGCTGGCCGACACGTACGCATGAGGGCCCTGCAAAGGCACACCAGCGCACTGGCAAAAGATAAGGCACAAGGCCCCAGTGTGCTACGAACATGCTGGACCGTAGCACCTGAACATTCCAGGACCTTCTTGGTTGGTCCCAATTTGTATTTTCCTCTTGTGTACGGCTCACAAAGGTTCTAAGTGAATAGATTGGAAAGTGCATTTATAAGCACACAAAAGCAAGAGAGACACAGACTCAAACAGCGCAGCATAGACTGAATAATGCTCTGCGGTGTGGGACATCTGGAAAATCCTGGACGATCATAGACATTCTTGGATGCTCCTAGATGATCACAGACCCCTTTTCCACTGAGGTGCTGCTTGAGCTCAGTAAGAGCCAGCTGTGGACCGGTGCCACTGCCGAGTTTGCTTGTTTTTTCCACCAAATACAATGTTATTCACTTGCCAGGAGAGCTTTGGGCTGCTTTTCTACTCGTTGTTGTTGTTATTGTTATATGTGTCTTTATTTAACCTGTAAAATGTTATTATGAAAATGTGTTGTTCACTATTCTATCTGAAACGGTTACATTTCTGGCCCTCACCGCATTTTTTTACAATATAAATGTATGTTTTAACTAGTGGGTAAATGTTTGAAATAGAGATTAGCAACTTTACTTTAATAACATAACATCACTTTTGTAGATCTATTCATTTAATTTACAGAACTGGCCCTAGTGGAGCGGAGCCAAAGCCTGTTCTGTGGTGTGGCCACTGCTGCTCCTGTGAAGTCTATGTATAACCCCTCTATCTAATACACAGACTAAGCAGAAGACCCCCCATCAATGCCTTAAATAACATTAGGGTATCAAGCTTACTGTCAGACATAAATTAGCCAAAAACAATTAAGCAGGTTATATCACTCCTTAAAAATGCCTACATTTATTTTTCATTTATGTTTGATGTGATCACAACAGCCTGACATCTTGAACGTTGTGATGTCACCCAAGTGTGAAGTGGCAGGAGCTACTAAAGCAAATGATATCAGGAGCTCCCTAAAATCCTGGGTCGCCGCTCTTTAGCATACTTCAGCGGAAAACAACAATGGGCACAGGACCAGCACCAGTTTGAGGGAAAAGAGGTCATCGATGTTTGTGCCGTCCCAGTGACATGGGAACAGTTAAGGACAAAGCCCCTCTCGCCTTTCTTCTCTGGACCTTCCTTTTATGGAACGACGCTAAGTACCTCTGCACATATGTATTAGAGTCTAAAACGACTCCACATATTTCTCTAATGTGCTTGAAATATATGCCACAAGTTAAACTGAGATAATTAGAATATTGTAACAAATGTAATTCATTTCTGGGATTCATCTTAAAATGTGAAACTAATATATACATGGACTCATCGGATGCAACGTGACATTTGCCATGTTTTGTTTGGCTTACAGCTTGAAAAAAAACAATTTAAACTCCAAGTAGAATATTGTAAAAAGAGACTATACATTGTCTGAAAGTATCAGCCTGTCATCACGGTGATTCAAAACCCCTGCAGGGGTCTGAGACTTTAAATGGTCTCAGTCTGGTTCAGGGGACCATCATTGGGAAGACTGCTGATGTGACAATTGTTCAGAAATCCATCATTGACACCCTCCATAAGGACAGAAAGGCTCAAAAGGTAATGGCAAAAAAGCTGGATATTATCAACCTGTAATATCACATGTTAAGACGAAGACAAAGGAAAAAGTGTGGAAGAAAAAAAGGTGCAAAAGCCGCAGAGAGGGCTGCGGTATGGAGAGGATTGTCAGGAAAAGACCATTCAAAAGCGTGGGGGACCTTCACAAGGAGTGGACTGAGGCTGATCCTTTGATTATTTGGGGAGAGATGTCTACTCCAGGAGAATGTATAAAGTCCAACCATCTCCAAGTAGATTTTAGACAAATTCATGCTTCCTTCAGCAGACAAGCTTTATGGAGACGCTGAGTTAATTCTCCAGTGGGACTTAGCATCTGCCCACACAGGAACAGAGTAAAAAAACCAATACTGTGCTTGATTAGCCAACATACTCCCCTGACATGAACTCCATATAGAAGGTATATGTGGGTTTCATGAAGGGAAAACGAGAGACATGAGAGCAGGCAATGCAGAAGACCTGAAGGCTGCTATTGAAGCATCCTGTATGGTCCTCATCACACCTCAGCAGAGCCACCGACTGAGAGCATCCATGCCAGACAGCGCTAAGACAGGAATTCAAGCAAAAGGGCTTGGAGCTTGGACGCTTATCTTCTGCAGCTCAACAATCCCTGCATATGTACTAAGTACATACCAAGTACATATGCAGGATTATTATATATGTCTGTTAAATTAATGTTCTTATTGATTTCATGTAGCATTCTAATCTTGTTTAGAATGCTATTGTTTGTATTAAGCCATAATACAAACAAAGGCCTGGCATATGTCACTTTCCATGAGTCCATATTAGCTTCACGTATTAGCTTTGCATTTTTACAATATTCTAATTATCTGAATTTCACTGGTATATTATAACAGTATTTTTAACAGCTGGTAAGTCACAACAAATGTTACCACACATTTCTATGAAAGATAATCAGAATAAGAATTTTAAATGTACTTGAATATTGTCTTTACCGTTTTAATGGTGTTAAAAAAAATCTAAATGGAGAATACGCTGAATAAATGATGAGTTATTTTGCAAAAACAGATGTTTCTGTTTTGACAGTTACAATAGAATCTTCAACATATTTTGTTATTTTAAAGAATTTTGCTCAAATGCGGAGGCGTGGCCACAGCTTCTGCTGTGAAGTCTATGGATAAGTGTAGAGTAAACTCCAGAGGACTGCTGCTGTAGGAAAATTCAGATGTGTTTATCCTCATGGTCTCTGCAGGCGGGTTTGGACAGAGGCAAGCCCCTGGCCGCTGTGCTCTATGGTGCTCAGCGCATGGGGTTCATGCTACAGGCTTCTAAAAAAGCTGCATATTTGAAATATTCTGTTACCTCCTCGGCACGCTTCTGTGCAAACTTTTCAACTTCAAAAACGTGTCGGGGACGGAAGAGAAGTTTTTTTTGATTTGTATACCAAAATAGAACACAAAATTAATCCATGCTATGCTACCTTGTTAGAACATAAAACTGGTGGTCCATGGGTATCTGAGACTTTGGTACGCTCACTGCAGTTCGAACAGTTGTGGGGATGATGGATCTCACGGTGTCCCACAGCCCATGATCCAGCACTGCGGTTTTTCTGCTGACTCGCTGTGGACTGGAGGATCATGGAAAACTTAAGCAGAACTTTGACAACAATCAATGCATTCGTGGATTTTTACATGAATGTTTGTGGACGTAAAGAACGTTTCCATCACAGAGAGAAGAGCCGTGAGGACGCGCACTGGAAAAGATGAGATTGATTGCGTAGCTTTGTGAGGGTTCATGGCCCCATCTGCTGGGGCCTGACCAGAAGGGGGCGGGTCCCCTTGCCGGGTGGTGGCGTACCCTGGAAACAGAAATATCCAATGAATTCTTATGCATCTTTTTTTCCTGGATACTATCTTCCATTTTAAATTATAAATATTGGTTTTCAGAGTAAATGCAAGTATATTTAAAATTCCAACTCTTATCTTCCATACGTTTCACATTGTTCTATTTTTAGCTTATTCTCTCAGGGTTGATGAAGATTTGAGCAGGAATAGAGTCAAATCTGTGCCAGAAGAAAGTATTAATCCACTCAAATCCACAGGTGTATACAAGATAGAAAATGTCCACATGCAAGGGCAAAAAAGCTCCCCCTGGATGCTGGGGTTTCTAACTTTTTCTATAGAAATGTCTGAAAACACTCTTGTAAAAGTAAATTGTGAACAATTCAGACCACAACATGCTGTGTTTGTCTAAAGTCCCACACATGCACACACACACATGCACACATACACACACACGCACACACACATACACACACACACATGCACACATACAGACACATGCACACACAAGGACCTCTGTGAGTCATTATTTGAAGTGTTGTGAGAGCTGATGAAAGCACAGTACTTATATAGCACTTTTCATGACACCAAAAGAAACAGCCACAGCTGCCCTGGGGTAGACTGACAGAAGCGAGAATACTAATTTGTGTAATTAGCCCCTCTGACCACCAGCAGCAATACGCATAGACTCTCACACACACCTGTGAAAACAAGTGCAAGCTGAATGCAAACCAGCAGAGCCCTCTGCTGGTGGTTTGAGTCTCTACACCCCCTCTCCCCCAATACACACACACTCACACACGCACGCACACACACGCGCACGCACAAACACACACACACAGAGACCTTTTGCTGACTCGGTGGTGTCAGAGCCAGCACACAGGCTTTTTGTGCCCTGGAATCTGGACACTTTCTTGGACATGTAGGTTGGTGTGAGACGTTTCATCCATCTTCAGCCTGCGTGTGTGTGCAATGGTATTCACAGACTTGAACTTAGTGTCGAACTATCATCATGGAATATGGACAAGATGCTATGATCTAAGAAACTATCTCGTTTACAAAACGGTAGCTACCATTAGTTAGTATTTTCTCATAACAATGAATCTCATGACTTATTATTTTTGGAGTGTGTGAATGAACACTCTATAATGTTATCTATATCTATGTTTGTATTTCAATACACAGAGTGCTGAAAAAAAAAAAAAAAGATTTTTATTTTTATTAAAGTGAAAGTGCAAAAATATCTTTCCTGTGTCAGATTTTTTAGATGAACTTCACATTCACTCACTGTTGGGGATTGAACAAAAAAATTCAGGCAAAAAGTTTCTTTAAAAATTTTTAAAGTAATTATTTTTGGTACGAGTCAAGTGTATCCACTGCTGGTTCAGATACCTGAAACTCATTAAGGGCAATAAACATACACCGCATGCTTTTTCATGTAGAACCTCTAACTTTGCGGCCATTGTTTCTGAACGGTGGCCATATACGCGTAACCAACCCTTCACTTATGAACAGGGGATTTAACAAAATGCCTTCCTCAGATAACAAGCAA